AAGGGTCTGGGGCTAGAAGGCTGCTCTCCTCATGGCAGCCAGGAAGCAGGGTGAGGAGGGAGGAGCTGGGAACAAGGACACACCCACGCAGGTCACGGCTCCTGTGACCACCAACCAGGCCCCACCTCCTAAGAGCACAAACTCACCAGTGAGCACCGTAACATACAATCCAGTCACTGTCCACTCCTGAGACCTCGGGGGACACATTGGATCTAAGCTAGAGCCTGGCTTGGGCTCCTCTGGTGGACTCCTGCCGTGACTGTTGTGGGAAGCAGTCCCCTGCCTTTCCCCCATTCCACCCCCGACCCGGCACCCCAGGGTCCCTCCTCCCCTTCCCGGGTCCCTGCCACCGCTCCCCACCTCCTCCACGCCCCTCGTCTCTGTCCCCTTCCCGTGTCCTTGCTGCACTCATCAGCCTGACCTCACCTCGAGCACCTCCTCACCCAGCACACAGTGGGCGCCCGTGTCCTACTCACTTTCTCGTCACCGGGACACAATGCTCCAACCCCACAGTTCTGAAGAGAAACAGGTTATTTGACTCAATTTGTAGAAGTTTCAGCTCACAGTCAGCTGGCCGTAAGACAGGAAGGCAGGGCAGAAGAGCCTGCGGAGAGTATGGCATCAGGCACAGGAAGCAGAGAAGGGAGGAGCCAGGAGGGGGAGGGACCCTTCAAGGCCCGCCCCTTCCTGTCAGGCCCCTCCCACAGGCCCCGCCCCTCCCACAGGCCCCGCCTCTTCACTGCAGTCAGCTGTGAGTGCCATAAGCTGTCAATTTCCAAGTGCCTGCCTCTGAGTGCAGGAGGCATAGGGGGACATCTAGATGGAAACTGTAACATTCAGTAAATCACTAGTGGGGCCAAATGCTGTTTCTGGTAGAGGGCTGGAAGTCTTTCTTGAACATTCCAGAGGAGAAAAAAGTTAACTGCCCCTGGGTCACCCGTACAACCCCCCCTCCCCTGCCTGGTCACTGCCCCACCCTCTTGCCCTGCAGGCCTCACATTGTCAGAAATCAAGTGTCTGCAGGGTCACAGGGTTTCTGAAGGCTCTGGGGCAGGGCCCTTCCTGCCACCTCCCCTTGTGCTCCAACCAGATCGCCTTGTGGCCTCCCTGCTCCAGTCAGAGCCTTGGGCGCCTCTTGCCTGGGGTGCTGGGAGCCCATCTTCTACAGGGACGTGGCCCTACCTCTCCACTGCTCCCCTGCCCGTGGAGCCATTTAGAGGTGACAGGAGCGGCCAGAAGCGGCTGCAGGCACTGTCACTGACCCCCAGAGTCAGTCCCTCTGGCCCTAGGGGGGCTGGAGTCCTCCCAAACCTTTTCTGCTGCATCTATCTCCTGTGTCCAAGACATTCCTGCAGCCCTGCCTGGCCCATGGGGGCCACAGCACTGTCTCTGCCTCGCAGGAGGACTCGGGCTTTGCCACCCTGATTTGAGATGAGGAGGCTGAGGCAGGAACTCTTCTAGGCTTGGAGTGGGCTGGGAGGGAAGTGGATGCTGCTCTTGGTGGACAGAGGACATTCGGAGATGTCCTGGTGGCCACTCTGCAGGCCAAGGACATTGGGTTGCAGCCAGAAGGTCTGATTTGAGCGCCAGCACCCCTGAGTTTATGCATGTGGTCCTGGCACAGACTTGGGGTACTCCTTTCCCTCTGAGGAAGTCCCCAACAAAAGCCCCATTTTACAGGTGAGGCTTTGAAGCCCGAGAAGGGTATGTCAGACACTCAGGGCCAGGCAGGTCATCTGGCCCACTACTGCCCCTGGCCACTTGCCTTCTCTCCAGCCCCGTGGCACTGCCACAGGAGACCCAGCTCTCGCAGGTGGGCTGGGCGTGGGATGAGGGCTGCCCCCAGGGGCTCAGCACCTTCCCTGTCCTCACCCTGCCCACTGGGTGCTGAAGGACTTGGCAATGACTAAGTCCCAAGCCACAGAAGCAGACACGGGGTGGGGACGCCTGCCATCCAGGGCACCAAGGGCCAGGGAGGGCAGCGCAGTGGCCCCAGGGTCATCGAGCCCTTCCCTCCGTGTCCTCTTGCTGCCCTCCGTCCCCTGCCCGCTCCGTCCCTTGCTCTCCCTCCCCCCTCTCCTCCCCTGCTTTCCCCACCCTCAGTTCCCTTCTGCTGCCCTCCCAGTTCCCGGCTCTGTACCAGGGTGGGGTTGGGGAGACCTCCTGGGTCCCTATGGCCCTGACTTGTGTTGCGTCCCCCTCCACCACCCCTCTGGCCACCAGGTCACTATGCAGTTCAGTGCCAGTACAGACACTTGGCTTGGATGAGGATGGTGTGGCCATGTGCACGGAACTCTGGCTGGTTCTCAACGTGCGTGAGTCTCTACCAGAAGACAGTGTGACCATCACAGGGACCGACCTGGTCTGAAGAGGGGCAGGAAGACAAGGTGGCAGTAAAGAGACTGTCACCTCTGCAGCCCATGCTCTCAGGCTGGCTTCAGCCACAGAAGGGAGCCTCGGGCCAGGTGGTCTGTGGCCAGGGAGGCCAGTGCAATCAGCACCCCGGACAGCACCCACCCCCTCGATGCCGTGGCTCAGTGCCCCAGGTCCCACACTGTCCACTGCGACACCCTGTGACGCCCTGGACCTGGCTGGCTCTAGGCCTCCAGGAAGCTGCACGCCCACTCCCCCTGCCTCAGCTGGGCTGGAGCTGGCCAGTACTGGGCGCATGTCCAGTCCAGCAATCAGCGGATGGCTGGGCAACGGCTATCACCTGACCCTGCAGGCACTGCCGTGCCTTGGAGTCCTCGGAAACTCAGTCCTCAGGCCACCTGCTGCTAGCCGCAGTTCACACTGCTTTAGTGGCCACCTCAGCTTCCTGGATGCTCTCCTTGCCCCCCCCGCCCCCAAGCCCCATCACCAGGGCCAAACTTCCTAGCTCCTCTGCTGGGCTCCACACTCAGGCATCCACATGTGAGCGGCCACCTGTGCTTTGCACACATATGCACACACATGTGCCCCACAAGAGGGATGAGTGTGGGAGCTTCCTGCTTGCAGGTGGCCCTGGCTCCAGGGTCTGGTTAGAGACTGCACAGAGAAGGCAGGTTGGCCTCGCCTTGGAACCCCTCCTTCCCCGGGCTCTCTTCCCTGCTCTGCTCCCCGCCACTGTGCGCTCCATGGCGCCCTTCTGCCCTGATGCTCCTGCCAGGGAGCCAGCAGGCCAGAGAATGAACCTTCAGAAACAAGTGTCCAGTTTTGGGCTGTTGGTGGCCAGGGGAAGGAAAGGCCAGTGTGCCCACCACAGTGTGCCCTTGGCTCTGGCGGCAGAGGTGCCGGCAGAAGAGCTGGTCCTGTTGCCGTGTGGCTGGCTGTGGAGAGTTGGGGTAGGGGCACCATGCCAGGCTGGGCCCAGGAATAACCCTCCCCCCACCATGGTGGGCCCATTGTTCCCGGGTCACTGAATGCCCTGCAGGACACTGACCAGGAATTCCAGGCTTCAGGTTAGGGACACAGCAGTACCCTGCCGCGTGACAGCTCAGTGGGGTGTGACCCCTTTGCACCAGCGAGGCAGGAGCAGACCAAGGGCCCCTTTGCGCCCCAACTTCCACTTTCTTTACTCTCCTGGCCCCAGGCCATACCCGCACAACTTGGGCATCCAGGTGGCCAGAGGTCCCAGCAGCGGGGACAGCCTCCCCAGGCCTCATCCCTGGGATCTGTGGGCACAAGCCACCAGAGTGTGGGGCTCCCAACCCGGAGCCCACACAGGGACAGCGAGGTCCTCGGTGCTTCTCTCAGGGGCTGAAGTCTTCTAAGGCTCTGTGCACGCAGCAGCACCATGGGCGTGCACCTCACCGGCAAGGCGGGTGGAGGCAGCCGGACAGATTTCTTCCCAAACAACTGGCCTTGTGTGGCTGTTCTTCATGCCTCCCTCTGAAAATATGCCTCTGCCAAGATGTTTATAGCACATACAGCAGTGTGGGCCTGGAATCCCAGTGCTTTGGGAGGCTGAGGCAGGAGAATCACAAACTCAACCCCAACCTGTAGTGGCTTAAGGAAAGCCTGCCTCAAAATAAAGAATAAAGAAGGGCTGGGGATGTAGTTCAATGCAAAGGCTCTGGGTTCAGGCTCCTAAAAAGAAACAGAAAGGAAAGAAAGAGAAAGCAAAGCAAAAAAGAGAAATGTTTTGTAAATCGTAATGTGCAATTCAAATAGAACACATTTTCCTGAGGAATAAACACAGGCCAGGAAGTTGTTAAAAGTGGAGAGGAGCTTGGGGGGCTCAGGGCTGCAGCCCCTGCCTGGCCTATGGGGTCCTCCAGTCCTAGCCCATCAGTCATCAACCATAAATCGATCAAAATAAACCCAGCGCAGGCTGCGGTCCAGGGTCTGGCCTGTGACGCGGCCTAGGAAGGCAGAGACCCTCCTGGAGCGGGGTGTGACCCCTGCCAGTGCCTCTCTCCATGCCCTTCTGAGACTCATCTGCCTGGCATTGTCCCCAGGACTTGGGACTCAGACGATGGCTGGGCACCCCAGCTGGAGCCCAGCACAGGAGCAGATGTGACACTCCTGTGTGGCCCAATCACAGCCAGTCTGCGGCGGGGACCTGGACCTGCCGGTGGCCCCAGGTGGGCAGGGGAGAGAGGTGCACAGGGCAGGGCCCTCTCAGTCCCCAGGTGCAGCCTGGGAGCTTCGGTCAGTCCTCGGCCAGTCACCACGGGCCACCTCAGCACCCAACACTGTGCCTGTGATCCCTGCTCCAGGGAAGGGAAGGCAGATAGGCTTCTGGCGGCCCACCTCTTTCCACCTGGAGGACTTTCTAAGTGGGTCTATGATGTGGGGACACTCATCCCTGCCCCCACTTGACTGAGGCTCAGCATGGGTGGCCTGGTTCCCTGCTAGCCAGGTCAGTATTGGGCCAGGACCCTGCCCCCACCCAGGCCCATCCTGTCCAGGAACCAGGGTCCCCCCACCCCCGCAGGCTTTTGGAGCCGTCAGGGTTGGAGGAGGTTCCCCTTGGGGGCGGGACTCCCCAGGGGCTGGGGGGCTGCCTGTTTATCTGGGCTCCTCCTCCAGCCACATCCTTTCTGGGTCTCTGACGCTGCCCCTGTAACCCGACTCCTGCATGGCCATCCGGGCGCCCCCCCTGAGCTAGGGCGGGCGCCCAGTGCCACATCACCGCGCCCACCATGCTGCCGCTGTCGCTCGCTGTGCTGGTCGCGCTGGCTGCCACTGGTAAGGTCTGCCGTCCCCTTCCCAGGCAAAGCGCACACCCAGCCAGGACCCTGTTCCCTGTCACACAACTGCCCCCCCCAGGCAGATGTCTTTGGAGTGTGCCCAAGGGACCCTGGTCTCCAATCGCGTGGGGTGGAGACCCCCCGGGGACCAAAGAGAGCTGGGGCTGGGGTGGCAGAGAGCAGGGCAGGTCTCCAGCTGTGTGGGCACAGAAGTGGGTACCGTGGCTCGCTAGCTGCCCCCAGCAGGTGCCAAGACCCTGTTGGCAGGGGGCCCTGGTGCCCTGTCTTTGTCCTTCCAAGAGTGGGGAGGGCCTGGTGCCGTGGGCTCTGGCTAGGACGTGGCCCACAGCTTCAGGCTGTGGGCGGGAAGCTGAGTGCGGGGTGGGCTGGGTCATGCCTGGGTCTGGGGCAGGGAGACCGAAAGGACCGGGACTGGACCCGTGGGCCTCCCTGTGGCCTCACCAACAAGGTCTCTACAGCTGGAGTCTGGAGTGCTGGCCACATCCCTGTCCCGCAGGCTGGCCTCCGTTCCCTCCGGTGGTGAGCCTGGTCCCAGGGTGTCTTTATCAGCGGCTGGACACCTGTGTGCCTGGAGGGCTGGGGTCCCAGGGGGCTGGGGCCCGGGTGTCAGGTTCGTGGACAGCTGAGAACCTGCCTGACAGGCTGAGAGCCTCTGTGGCCTGAACCTTGCGCCTTCCCCTCCTTCCCTGAGACTGCACACTGCCCCATCCCTGCCTGCACCCCTCACCTCCCTCTGTTCCCTTCTGAGGGAGTGGACAGCACAGGGGTCCCTGAGGACTGTCACCATGACTCTCCCTGCACCCCTAAGCTCCCAGGAAGTGTCAGATACACAGGCTTCGCCGGGACCCCAGAGACCCCTCCAGAAAGCCCTCCCTGACCTGCCCAGTCCCCCTAGGCGGCACCAGGGAGGGTTCCAGCTGTGGTCCTGCCCAGCCCCAGAGCCCCTCCTTGCAGATGAACCTGGGGACCAGGACCCTGTACAGAGCCCAGGTATCAGGGCTCCAGGTCTTCTGGGGACCTGGTCTCGTCTCCAGGGCCTGGCTCAGGGTTCCGAACCTGGCGACTCCATTCTGCTGTGTGACTCAGAGAAGATGATCACCCTCTCTGGCCTCGCAGTGTGGCTTCCTCCGGTCAGAGCGGGCCCTGTCTGGAAGGAGCAGCCTCTTGAGCCTGCCGGAGAGGAGGCACCCCAAGCGACCTGTCTGCCCGGGTTGAGAGATGCTGCCACCTCGTGGCCAAGGGACGTCATGGTCGCCCCGGACTCAAGCCCCTTCTGGGACAGGGACTCCCAAAAAGGATGGAAGTCACACTTGCCATTTGGCGTGTTCTGGTAGCCACACAGACACACACTAAAAATTCAGGTCAAATTCATTTTAACTGCAAAATGTTAACCTGGTGCATTCAAAGTCTCGTCCCAGTGCTTTGCGATAGATGCCCAACCCCTAGTGCGACATTTTTAGTGTGTCTTACAGTGTGCCAGCTTCACCTTGCTGCGTTCTGGCTCTCAATGGCACACGTGGCAGGTGGCTGACAGAAGGACCAGAGGCTTTGGACCCTTCAGGGACCCAAATTCCAAACCCCTTCTGTTCTCCCGGCTGCTAGGCTGGGCTCCCCAGTGCTGGGAGGGGAGAGCAATGGTGCGATTGTCCCTCGCTCTGTGGACAGAAGATGCCCAGAGAGACCGAGCCAGTGGGCGAGGCACTCTGGGCCTCCCCCGTCATTGCAGCTCCGCCCTGCTGAGCCCAGCACCCCCGGGCCCCACCTGATCTGGTTGATCACGTCCCCCCCAAAAAAGGCAGTCACCTGACACAGGACCCATGTGTGCAATCTCGCTTGAAAGCCACGGTCAAGATGTGGTTGGAGATCAGATGGACAGACACACGGGACATGGTCACGTTCACCCCGGGGAGGGTCCAGCACCACAGCAGCCACCAACATGATGGGGACGAGGCCCTTCCTTGAGGGATGGGCCCTGAGCACACAGTGGCTCCCAGCTCCTGGATCCCAGAGCCCTGAGTGGTGACTGCCCCTGTCACCTTCCCAGAGGTCAGATGTGTTGTGGATACCAGAAGTGAGTGGCAGTCTCCTCAGAACTGGATGGAACCTGTCAGACACTCATGTGGCACTGGGCACTGCCACAACTGACCTGATCGGAGCCTCAGTAGCTGCACAGAAGCACTCTTGTTGTCTCAGCATGAGGCAGGGAAACTGAGGCACACAGCAGGACTTTCTGCCCAGGCCTCAGCTTCCCCTCTGTGAACCAGCGGGACCTTTGCCTGGTGAAGCCAGGCTCTCTGGTCCCTGCATGTCCCTTCAGGTGGTGCTCGCTGGCTTTGGAAGTGGGCAAGAGACAGATCTTCGCTCGGCTCCTGGGGGCCTCACCTTGGGTTTTGCCGAGGCAGCAGAGGCCCAGGGTTAGCTTCCAGGTGACCCCCATTCACTGCTGGACTAGGTGGGCAGCCCGAGGGCCTCAGGCGTGGGGCCTCTCCATCATGTCTGCCCTCGCTCAGCATGGAGCAGCAGCAGCTGGGCAGGTCCTGGGCTCCGATGTGGGCAGGCTTTGGATGGCAGCTTCAGACGCAGGCTCTCACCAGGCCCGGGGAGGGGGCCTCGAGGCCTGCGATGCTGCATTGCAGCTGCCTCTGGCTGCCCTGAGAGACCATGCCAGTGCTGCGCGGAGGGCCTGGACCAGCTTCTTCTCTGCCTTTGTTCTCCCCGTGCCCCGCTCACCCCACCATGGTGCATGGTGGTGGCTCGAGTTAACACTTGTCGAAGGCCCTTGCTGTGCTGTGAGTGATGTGCAGAGCTGGGGACCGGGCTGCACCTTCTCGGCCCTCGAGGCAGAGTGGGCCAGTGCGTGCTGCCACTGGATTGGGACAAGGAGGGGAACTGAGTCCGGAGTGGCAGGGCATGTGCCTGGATGTGCACTGCCCAGGATCTGCATGGTCCCTCGTCGTGGATCACAGGACGGGGGTCTGTCCTGGGGCATCTGGCAGACACAGTGCCACAATGTTGCCATACGGGGAGAACCTGGTACGCTAACTGGCGGAGTGGTCGGAGCACGGTGGCCCTCTTCGCCATCTTATCACTGTGGGGCTGTCGTGGGCTACTCCTCACTGTCCTCAGCGGGGTGTCCCTGGCTAACGTGAGTCTTATTCGCCCTCCTGGGGCCTTACTGTGGGACCCAGGCAGCTGGGCTTTGGAGGTCCCAGAAACCCCACGGTCGCAAAAATATTCGTGTGAGTGCTGCACTATTTGGGGAGGGATTCCCAGCTCGTGCATTAGTAAGGCCCCGCCCCAACCTTGCAGACTGTTCTGGGGCCAGCAGCCTGTGCCTTGCTGGCCCTTGGAGCAGGCTTTGAGTGACACATGGTCAGAGCCTGCAGTGCCCAGCTGGCTGCTCAACCCCAGGATGCCCACAGAAGCCCTGCAGGTCCAGGCCTGTTTACCCCAGACAGCAGGTCCACTATAACCTGTTGGCCAGTCCATGCGGGGCCAGAGCAGAGCCCTCAGACCCACACTGCCCACAGGTGCCCATCCTTAGGCAACTCACTGACCCTTCAGACCGTCCTCACCCAGAAAGGGGGCTTCCACCGCCATCAGGGTGGGGGGAGGAGCGTGAGATGCAGCCACAGAGGGTGAGCAGACCGGGTGCCCACCAGCACCTGGGGCCACCAGGCTGTGGACAGAGCAGCCTGCGGTGCCCCTGTCCCGGGCATGCGTCCCTAACGCGGTGTCTTCTCTCTTTGCAGGTGACAGCTACGGGCCAGCGGCTGCCAACAGCGGTTCGTACCTGGACTTCCCAGTCAGGTTTCTCGGTGCACCAGAGCCTCCAATTTAGAGCGGGCTCCTGGTTCCTGGAGTGGGTGGCAAAGCACAGGGCTCTGACCCTGCATCACTCTGCCTCACAGCTTGAGAGAAGCTGGTGGGACCCAGGACACACAGGCCCACGGCACAGGCTTGCTGAGAGCACCTGCAGGTGCCCCCTCCTGCCTCTGCCTGCTGCCAGCTCCCCTTATCTTCCCCAGGGGTTGCAGCAGCGCCCCATCTTGACCTAATACATTTGTGGGGAGGCTGGGGGCTAAAGGAATGCACATGCTTCCCCGGCCCAGCGCTCTACTCCCCTGGGCTCCAGTGCTGCCAGGCCCCTGCTGAGTCGCGGGCTCAGTCCTGGGCCCCACCCAGGATGGTCAGAGTGAACCATGGGCCGAGCCTGGGTTCCAGTGTCCTCTACGAATTGAGGAAAAGTCGAAGAGTCTCACATGGGGATTCTGAGACATATGCGTCTGAAACACTCAGGACAGTGCTGAGGTCAAGTCGGGTTCTGTGAGACAGGCAGAGGTCCCCCCACCCCAGACTAGGCGTTCAAGTGTTTGCTATCCAAAGGGACTAAAACTTGTGCGAAAGCCAGCGCCATCGATCTAGCATTCTGAGCAGAGAAACGCTGAGCAGAAACAAACAACCCTGTCCTTTCTCAGAGCTGACACGGAAAGGTGGCGGAACTCAGGTCGGGTGCCTCTCAGCACATCCGTGATGTCGGGTGCCGAGGAGAGGGGCCGGGGCGAGGGGTGGGGGGACCTGGGGCGAGGGAACTGCTGTAAGGGTTAGTGCAGAAAGTCCTGCAACAGAGGTGCTGCCTGACTCTGCCTGCGTCCAAATGCCTGCAATGCACAGCTGTTTCCACGCGGCCTCTCACAGGCCTTGAGCTCAGACTGGCAGAGGGCCACCCTCCCCGAGGAAGCGAGGACCAGCCAAACTGGGCACCTCTGTGAGGACTGTCCTGTTCGGGATTTTCACAGCCTGTCCTAGGAACTGTGCCGTCAGCTTTCTGTTGCTCTGACAACATCTAAGAAAATCAACCAAGAGGCAGAGGCTTGCTGGTTCATGATTTCAGGGGTTCAGTCCACAGCTGGCTGTGCTGTGCTTTAGGCCTGAGATGAGGGAGGATCGTGGTGGCAGGAGAGTGTGGAGGTGGCCAGCTGGTCACAGCATGGTGGCCAGGAAGAGACAGAGAGGAAGGGCTGGGAACAAGCTACAGCCCCAAGGTCGTGCCCATGCCTTGCTCCCTTCGGTTAGGCCACGACCTGTTCCCGTCACCTGCCATCAGTCATGGCCCGTGGGTGAATTTGCTGTGAAGCCGGAGCCCCTGTGATCCTCTCACCAGATGGGGTTCTCTTGGGCCTGGGCCACTGTGTGACCTGTGAACCCTGCCTCCCCAGCTACCTGTGTGGACCTGCGGCTCACGACCTGTGCAGATGGCACCTACAACCGGACCACCTTCCCCACGGCGCTGGACCACTGGTCGTGCGAGGCTGTGGAGGCCAGCTCCGAGTACATCCTGCTGAGTGTGCTGCACCACCTCCTGGAGGGCCAGTGCAACCCCGACCTACGGCTGTTGGGCTGTGCCGTGCTGGCCCCGCGCTGTGAGGGCAGCCGTGTGCGGAGGCCCTGTCGGCGTGTGTGCCAGGGCCTGCAGGAAGCCTGCCAGCCCGCTTTCGACGCCATCGACATGGCCTGGCCCTACTTCCTGGACTGCACCCGCTACTTCGCATCCGAGGAGGAGGGCTGCTTCGACCCCCTGGAGCAGCTTCGGGGTGAGGCCAGGCTGGGGTGCATCCCAGCTCCCAGCAGCCAGGGCTCGTGCAGATAGGTGCTCTGCTTCTTTTAAGGACCAGCTGGTGGTGGGGCAGCGAGCTGCTCATCTTGGGGTGTGCAGCCATGCCCGGGGCCGGTCTGAGCCATCACCCCCATCTGTGGGTGGGAGACAGGGAGCAGCAGGGCCATCCCCTGCACCTGGGGTCCACCCCCTGCACCTGGGGTCCACCCCTCCTGGAAGCTGGCTCGTGAGGTCAGGCCCGAGCGTGTCCATTTCCTGTCACATCAGCAAGTGTGAGAGGCAGCTCAGCAGCCTATGTGGCCAGGGTGCCGTGTGGGGCAGTGGCCTCTCCTGGCTAGGCTACAGGGTCCCGTGGTGTCATAGAATGAATTCTCACCTCCAGCTGAGAACGTAGGGGCTCTGGGAGGCAGACAGTGCAGGGTGCACCTCCAGAGTGACCCAGCCAGCCCCCAGGGGATGGGGCTGTTATCACTCTTCAGAGAGCTACTTAGCACCTACTGTGCGCACAGCTTTTCGGTGAGACATGGCAGGTGACAAGGGACAGGGCGCAGTCCCGTTCCTGGGCGGGGTCTCTGGGCTGGTGCAGGGCCCAGTCCTGGCACTCACAGCCTCATGCTCCTGGACAGAGGTTGACCTGGCCTTGGTGTGGGTTGGGGACAGCTGGGTGGTGACAGACTCTTGGGGGAGAGAGGAGTTGGCTGGCGAGGCCCAGGAAGGAAGCCAGGCTTGTCCTGTGCCAAGGCGGCCCCAGAGAAGCCTGGGCAGTGGCTCGAGCGAGGTTATTCTGGGCGCCCTGCTTCCCCCTGCTTCCTGCCCTCAATGCCCTTGTGAGCAGCCCAGGGAAGCCATTAACCCTGCAGTCCCCAGCAGCTGTGGGCGGTCACTAGGGCAGAGGACAGTCTCCAGGGAAGCCATTAACCCTGCAGTCCCCAGCAGCTGTGGGCGGTCACTAGGGCAGAGGACAGTCTCCAGGGAAGCCATTAACCCTGCAGTCCCCAGCAGCTGTGGTGGTCACTAGGGCAGAGGACAGTCTCCAGGGAATGCCACTGGGTCTCAGCTTGGGCTCCACCCGCTCTGCCCTCTGTTCCTGGCAGGGGCAGGGGACATCTGGGCACAATGCCAGCCTGGGGGCCATCGTGAGGAGTCACCAAGACCTGCTGCCACATCGGCCCCAGGTCTGGGGCAGCCTGCCCAGTGGGCAGGATGCGAAGCCACATGGGCACCGTGGTCGCAGCAGGTGGCGGTGGCAGGACGCGCCCATGGGGAGGCAGTCTGCAGGTTTCTGAGGTGGAAGACTGGAAGCCCTCCCACACCTCCCTCCTGTAGCGCTGGGGATGTGCTAGTGCCTCTGTGCCATGTAGGCCTCCAGCAGGGACACTGACTGTCACCACAGTCAGGAGCTCTATAAAGGAGGTCGTAAAGGAAAATATCGCAGACCAGCAGAACCACACAGGTGACGCCTGGGTCCCCCTCCCTGGATGCTGCAGGGGAGTCTGGGCGTCCGGCCTCAAGTAGCAGTGGGGGAGGCCAGCGGGCCAGCTGGGAGCCACTGGTGACTGGACAATGTCCAGCCCGGCTTCCTGTGTCCACAGGTGACCTGGAACCCGAGGAGGTCCTGCCCTCCGGCCTACCGCCCACCTTCATCCGCTTCGCCCACCACTCCTACGCCCAGATGGTGCGGGTGCTGAAGCGGACGGCGGCCCGCTGTGCCCAGGTGGCCAAGACTTACAGCATCGGCCGCAGCTTTGATGGCAAGGACCTGCTGGTCATCGAGTTCTCGGGCCGCCCTGGCCAGCACGAGCTCAGTAGGTGCCTTGCGGGAGGCTGGCTTCCGGGAAGGGTGCTGTCTACCAGGCCTTGGGGTGCACAGGCAGGGGAGGGAGGTCTGGGGTACCAGGTATGAGCGAGGTTTCAGGGCTCTGCGTGGTGCATGGCTGCGTCCCACAGGGATGGCTGTATAGATGAAGATGACCTCCCGAGTGTCCACTGCACTCGGACTCATCACAGCATAGATGCTGATGACAAGGACTGAGAGGGTGCCAGACCAGTGCGAGACTGAAAACAGGCCAGGCTTGAAGACCACACCTGTTGCCTCAGCCCCTCAGTAGGCAAAGGCAGGAGGATTACAATCTCAAGGCCAGCGTAGGCATTTGAGCGAGATGGTCCTGTGGTCTTGCCTGTGAGCACCAGGCTGGGCAGATCAGTGAGACCTGTGTCCTAGTCCCTTCCTCCCTCCTTACCAAACTGTTCGGGGACAGTGCCACCAGTTGGATGGCATGGACACTGGCTTTTCCATCTGGAAAATCCAGGTCCACTTCTGCGCACTCCCACGCCAAGCCAGCAGGGGGCAGCATGGGAAGCGCCAGCCCTGCTGTCTTCTGACGGGAGGGACAGGAAACAAACTTCTGGAAAGTGCCGCCCCTGGGAGGTGCGGGGACGCTGTGGGTGGCTGCTCTGAGAAGCCAGGGCGTTTTAGCACAGAGCCCCAGTTTCCTCCCCCGGAGAGCCGGGGGTCAGCCTCGCCTCCTGCCCCGCTGTCTCCAGGCTGTGCGTCAGGCAGGATCGACCCAGAAGCGGCGCCGTTCCACCCCAGGCTCCCATGCGGTGCTCACACGTGGAGAGGCCACCAGTGGAATCTTACGAACGTGTGACACTGTACATTACTACTAGCAGCTCAGCGTCCCAGCAGCCCTAGGGAGCCCTAGGCAGACTGTACGGTGTGCAGTGCTCCCAGGCCACCCCCGTCCCCTGGCTGAGTGGGCTCGAGGCTGGGGCCTCAGGCCCTGCGGTGCCGCCCCAAGTCCCCGTGTTTCCCCAGTGGAGCCCGAGGTGAAGCTTATCGGGAACATCCACGGCAACGAGGTGGCGGGGCGCGAGATGCTCATCTACCTGGCTCAGTACCTGTGCTCTGAGTACCTGCTGGGCAACCCACGGGTACAGCGCCTGCTCAACACCTCCCGCATCCACCTGCTGCCATCCATGAACCCCGATGGCTACGAGGTGGCGGCGGCCGAGGTGAGCGCTGCCCCGGGGACTCAGTGGCCGCTACGCAGGGCCTATTTGCGTCTGGGATTCCAGGTGATGAGGATTCAGCAGCCAGCTCCGTGGCCAGGTGCTGCTGAGGGTTGGGAGAGACAGGCACCAATGGTTTCACAGCACGTTTGAAATCTCGGAGTGCCCTCTGTGCCCTCAGCAGACAAATGGATGAAGTGTGGTGGTCGCTCGCGTGGAGCACTGCTCTCCCGTGAAGAAGGATAAACTCCTGGAGAAGACGAGAGCGCAGTGTGAAGTGAAATGAGCTTAAATGTCACATGGTGTCTCTTATGCGAGAAACCCAGGGTATACAAGAGCAAAATAGACAACAGGAAAGACAGACAGACAATTGCAAATGGAGGAGGGAGGGTGAGACGTGGAAAGAATTGAGATGCAGCCCAGCCACGATCCAACGCCCCCCAAAGAGTGTGATCCTTATATAGCACAAAGCTGTCTTAAGACAAATTTAAAAAGCTGACCTAGGCCTGGCAAGATGGCACAGCCTACAGTCCCAGCACTTTGGAGGCTGAGGCAGGATCAAAAGCTTTTGGGTTTTTTTTTTTTGTTGTTGTTGTTGTTTTGTTTTGTTTTGGTTTGGTTTTTTTTGAGACAGGGTCTCCATACGCAGCTCAGGCCAGCCTTGAGCTCACTTTGTAGCCCAGGCTGGTTTTGAACTTGCAACGATCCTCTTGCCTCAGCCTCCCAAGTGCTAGGATCACTCACACGCATGAGCTACCACACCTAGCTCCAAAATGGAAACCTTTTGCCCAGGTTGGGCGATTTAGTGGCTTGGTAAGACCTTGTCTCAAAGTGGGGGGGGGGGAGATCTAGGGACATAGGTCAACGCAAAGGTCCTGGGTTCAGTTACCAGTACAAAAAGGTGACACCAGCAGTAGTGACAGCTCGTGGCAGAGAAGGGGTGGGTGTGAGTGCATGCACAAGGGAATTGAGGTGCTCTGGGAGGTGACTTAGATGTGGGGTGAGGGGCAGGAGCCAAGGCACGGCCAAGGGCATGACCCGGAGCCCCAGTGGGAAGCCCCAGCCCCAGCTCCCTGCAAAGGAGTTCTGGCGCTGCGCTGAGCCCCATGTGGCCTCGCCCACGTCCTCAGGGCGCTGGCTACAACGGGTGGACCAGCGGGAGGCAGAATGCACAGAACCTGGACCTGAACCGGAACTTCCCGGACCTGACCTCGGAGTACTACCGGCTGGCGGTGGAGCGGGGAGTGCGCACAGACCACATCCCCATCCCGCAGCACTACTGGTGGGGTAAGGTAGGAGCTGCTCCCAGGCCCACCTGCGCGGCCCTGGCAGGCATAGCCTGCCCCTCCCCTCCGCCTACCGTGGGGTGTGGCTCACGCCAGGTCCAGTCCCGGGCGGGATTCAGGGGGGCGCCTCGTCCTGGATGAGGGCAGGGGCCAAGTGACAGCTTGCTCTGGGAGTTTCCCATGACGGTTTGTTGGTGGCACCTTTGCGGGCTGGGGCCCATGGCTCTGCATCCTGCCTGGGCTGGGCACCAGCTGCCAGGTGACCAAAGCGCTGTGCAGATTTGGGCTCTGTCCGCTTTGGGGCTGGTTGCGCTGTGGAAGGAACCCAAGCAGCTGCCCCCTGCCCAGTGCGGCGTCGGTGCCCAGCAGCTGTGGAAGCCCTGAGTGGCCTGCGGCCCACCCTTAGCCCTGGGGGACGTCATCCAGATAAGGTCCCCACGACATGAGAGAGTTATGACACCCAGGGGCGGAAGTGGGGGCGGCTGGCGCGTGCCCATGCCAAAGCGGCGCCTCTGTCTGGCAGGTGGCCCCTGAGACCAAGGCGGTCATGAAGTGGATGCGGACGATCCCTTTCATGCTGTCCGCCAGCCTCCATGGGGGCGACCTGGTGGTGTCCTACCCCTTTGATCTCTCCAAGCACCCCCTGGAGGAGAAGATGTTTTCCCCCACGCCCGATGAAAAGGTGAGGGGCGGCTAGCCCTCTTCAGGAGGGTGCGAGCGAGGCGACGCCGGCAGGGGGCGCTGCTGCAGCGCCAATGGTCCCCTTCGGGGCCTGGGCTTCTGGGCTTGCGGCTGTGGGAGGGGCAGAGAGTCCAGTCGCGCAGTTCTGCAGGTGACGCGGCCGGGGCTGCAGCCCAGGACCCACGACCCGGCCAGCCCGCTAACCCCCACGTCACAGGGCTCCCCGAGGTCTGCAGCCCGGACACAGCCACAGTGCTGAGTCTGGAGGGCGGGGTCCCCTCCCACGGTGTGGGTGACACAAAGCTGAGGGCCAGCGTGACCCGAGATGGGCCGCAGGCCAAAGCCAGGTCCTACGATCCGCAATGGTGATTCAATCCTGAACCACCTCTACGGCCCAGCCCCGGGACCAGCGCTGAACCCCGACCCGGGAGAGGACGCAGGACAGGGGCCACGTGGGAGGGCGTGGCCGCGGGAAGCGGGCGTGGTTGAAAGAGGGTGGGCGTGGCCGATGCAGTGGGTGGAGCTACACGGGGTCGACAGCTTCCCGCAGGGACTCTGCAGGTCTGCGAGGTCAGTCACTGCGCTGGGTGAGGGCTGGCTCTGTGCCAGAGCTCCTGGGGTCCTTGTGACCCCAGGCAGGGCGGACATCTTTGAGCAGTCTCCTAGGCTAGGCCTCAGCGTGTGAAAACGGCCCTGGGATGGGGCAGGAGTAGACTGACCCAAAGAGTCCCGCCGGAGTGGACAGAGCCCCCCCAGCCATGGTCTCCCAGCGACCCTCACTGTGCCTCCAAACCAGCGCCCCTGGGGAGGCTGGGCCAGTGGGGGGAACGTAGGGGACTGGCATCCACCTTCCTTGGCACCTGACTATGGGGCTCCACACCTGCCTGCTCTGAAGCTGGCCCCCACGGTGCCCCCCACTGGTGGGCTTCATGTGGCCTTGGCCTGTGCTTCAGCCCTGTGTCACTCTGAGCTGTCCCTTCAGGCCCTAACCCTAAGGCTGGCTGGTGATGAGCAGTGACCTCAGGACAGCAATGGTGAGGAGCAGGGTCAGGGAAGGTGTCCAAGTGTGGATTCCCCACCCCATGCTTGTTCACGGGTGGTCAGCGAGGTCAGGCCTGGGGTGGGAACCCTGCAGCCCCCACAGCCCAACACATCGTGGAGAGGCCCGGGAGCAAGTGACTTCCCCAGGATGGCGACTCTGCCCAAGGCTTGGCAGGGCTGTAGTCCTGATCTACCAGCACTGGGCATCAGAGGACTTGAGTGGCCGTGGGTGCTTGGTTTGCATTTGAAGAGCTGGGCCAACCTCTTTGCCACCCCTAAGCCCAGATCTTGGGTGCTAGATCAGGTGATGCCACCAGAGAGTGCTCTTGGCTCTGGCGTGGGTGGCTCTGTTGCTGAGCCTTGCCTGTCCACCCTGCTGGTGTCCCCTTCCCAGAACAGATGTGTCCCAGGTCATGGAGCCCTGGCAAGCCCGTGCAAGAGCATGTCCAGCCTGGGCTGCAGGGGGATGAGACCCGCCTATGGGAGGGGCAGTGGGGCCCAGCTGTGTCTGATGCCACTCCACCAGCTGTGGAGGAAACTGCATGTGGTTTTGGCACGGGAAAGCCACAGCTGGGTGCTGGTCAGTGGGCAGGAGGGTGCGGTAGTGCCAATGGGAGAAGCTGGTGTTGGGATGAGGTTTGTGGAAACAGCCCGCAGGCCTCTGTCCCTCCGCCAGCCTCTCTTCCCTGTGGGCTGCTGGGCTTGGTGGGCTGGCCAGTGTCCCCCCAGCTGGTGTGGGGGTGGCTCAGTGGTCTCCCATCCCTGTCCCCAGCACAGTCTGACATTACCCATCACCACCTCCCGGCCTGTGCCCGAGCTATGCCCTCTGCCTGGGCTCTGTGCCCTCCCCTGTGGTGCCAGGGGCCGGGCAGCACTGTCGGGTTCTACAGAGCCCCTCCTCTGGGGTTGAACCTCTCTCCTGCTCCTTTTTTGCAGATGTTCAAGCTGCTGGCCAGAGCCTATGCTGATGTCCACCCCATGATGATGGACAGGTCAGAGCACAGGTGCGGGGGCAACTTCCTGAAGCAGGGCAGCATCATCAACGGCGCCGACTGGTACAGCTTCACGGGAGGTGCGTGCGCAGGGCCCCGAGGCTGGTGACAGCCCAGCGGGGTGGGCGGCTCTGCCCTGTGGGGAGGCAGTACCAGGCAGGCCTGGCTCCTGTTTCAGTCTCTCTCTGCTGAAGGGAGGGATGTGCCAACCACCGTGCCCAAGGCAGGGGTAGACAGGCTGGCCCTGTGGCCTTCCTTGCTGCCCTTCCTGTCCTTTGCCTTGTCGCACCTGTGTCATGACTCTGCCGGTGACCGGTCCTCCCTGCCCCTCAGCAGCTCAGCAGACTGGCTGGAGGCCAGCGGGTTTAGTGCTGTGTCGAGGCTGGCCCAGCGCACAGCACACGTCCCTCTGTGGCAGTGCGGGGCGCATGTGTACAGCTCTTTCCATGTGTACACTATCCGGGTAGCTGTCCCTGTGTGGGTACCTAGGGGACCATGGAGATGGCCATGCCACACAGGGATGCCACCACATGTCCATTCTCTGTCCTCCACGTGTGCTCAGTGCTTCTCAGCTCTGCTGTCCTCCAGATGAGGATGGCAGAGACTTGGCCAGGGCTGTGGCTGTGGTGGAGGGGTGGGACTCATGTCCCCCTCTCCTCTCCAAGGTCAGGCCCGCTGGTGACATCCCCTGTTGTCCCAGATGACACTGCATCCCCTGTGGAGGGCGCCTTCTCTCCTCTAGGACTTGGGCTCACATCAGTGACCCGTGGCAGCGATCCCTGGCTGGATCAGGCCTCTGTTGTCCCCTGGGTCTGCCACAGTCTCCAGGGTGGGCTGGGCTAAGAAGCTGATCATGGTCAGGGCTGGCAGCATCCTGGGCTCAGAGCAGCCCCGAGTCCTGAAGGGTGGGCTCCCTGCTGCCTGCTTCTGTACCCAGGCCTCTGTCTCTGGAGAGGCTAGGACTCTGAGCTGGCCATGAAACTTGGGCCCATTGGGTGGGGACTGAAGGTGAAGTCCCCACCTCTCCCCATGCACAGCTGCCTGGGCGTCCACTCTGCCGCCAGACACTTCCTGGGAAATGGAGTCAGGACCCTGGGGCTGGAGCCAGGGAGTGACAGGAATCAGACGCTACTGTCATCATGGTCCTCTACCTGCTGTCCGGGAGCCGGTGGCAGCCACCTGTGTGGATGGCACAGGATGCCGCACACCGCTGGCCTCCACTGATGCTGCCCTGCTGTCCGCAGGCATGTCCGACTTCAACTACCTGCACACCAACTGCTTCGAGATCACAGTGGAGCTGGGCTGCACCAAGTTCCCGCCGGAGGAGGCACTGTACAGGCTCTGGCAGCACAACAAGGAACCACTCCTCAGCTTCCTGGAGATGGTGCGCGGGGCTCTGCGGGCCACCTGGGCCCTGGGGGTGCTGGGGAGTGGGGAATGGGTGGTCCAACCTGGTGAGCGGAGATCTCACCCCAAAGGGGCTCTGCGAAAGGGCTACAGGGTTGGCGGCATCCTGGAGGAGGTGGCTGGCCAACTTCATCTTGAAGGAATGAGACGGGGAGCCTTCTGGGTGCAGGGCCATTCGAGATCCTGAGGTTCCTGGGCTGGGCTAAGGGGTGCTCTGACACAGGGCATTCACGTGGTCAGTGCGAGCAGTGGCAGGACCAGGGGTCAGAGGCTGGGGTATGGGTCGAAGGGCCCCCCACTGCCTCAGGCTGAGTTACAGAGCACAGTGGGGGAGGGGGGACAGCACAGAAAGCCCTGCTGGTCCTGGGGAGCCTAGGTGTCACTGCCCACCACCTCACCCAGCACCCACTCAGAGGGGCTGCTGAGGGGCTCAGGAGGTGGCTCTGGCCCCCCAGAAGTGGTTTTTCCCAGTGCGCTGAGTTACACACACGGCCCACTGGCACAGGCATCCCTGAGCGGGTGAGGTGGGGGTGACACTGCACAGCTGGCACCTCCACCCTTGGTGGCAGCCGGGTGCCCTGTTTAGAGAGGGGGTCAGCAGGGGATTATACAGGGCTGGGCCAGAGGAGGCCTGTGTGCCCTGTCCCTGTGCCTGGCATTTGCCCAAGTATAGGCCAAGGTCCACTGTCCCCAGCCCCAGCCCTGTCCCCGAGGTCCTCCTTTCTAGAAAGATCAGCAGCTTCCTCTGGGTCAACGCAGAGCAGCAGTGGGCAGAGGGGAGACACAAAGCCCAGATCACAGCGGTGCGTATGGTGGCTTGGGCTCCTTCCTCACCCTGGATGACTGGGCTCCACGCCCTGTGTTTACGGCCGCCTGGAGAACGGGAGCTGGAAGGGGCCTGGGCAGCTCTGCGCCTGCTCCGGGGATGCTGCTGGCCAGGTCTCGGCTGCGGAGATCTGGGCGGTACCCAGCAGTGGGCGGTCAGCAGCTTTGCCTGGCCTTCAAGATGGGCGACCCCGGGCCAGTACGGCCATGATAAGATCGAGCCTGTCCAGGCCAATCGAGGCTGTTCTGGCTGATGCTGAGCAGACCCGGGGCGGTGGGGGAGCGGGGAGGACAGACAGGGGTCCAGGCCTCTGCCAGGAGGGTGGGGCAATGCTGTCTCTGTGCTCCGCATGGCACAGGGAGGCCTCTGGTCCCTCCCAGGCACAGGATCCTGTGGTGCTGTGCCAGCTGGGCAGGCAGGGAGCAGAGGGGCCCTGTGTGTCCATCCTGCTCTTGGTGGGGACACAAGGCTGTTGGCCAGGCTGGGAGACAGGAATCTCAGGATGTGGGGCCCTGGAGGAGGCCCTAGGGAGGCTCCTGATGAGGCGGGACACCAGGGAGGGCTGCCCGGAGGAGGATGGCAAGCTGGGTCTTCCTGGGTGAGGTGAGCCAGGAAGGGAGAAGGACAGAGCGAGGCAGGGCCCAGTTTGTGTGGGAGCTGCCGGTGGGGCCTGGCCAAGGGCCTGAGGATGCTGAGGGCGCCTGCTCTGTCCCCACCTCTCTGTCTGCTGTGGGCGATCTGCGGGAGAGGGACACAGCGAGGATTCGAGGGAGGTGGGGGCAGCTCTGTCCTCCCACTGTCGGTGCCAAGGCCCTCGCAATGCGCTCAGCCGGATCTCCGTGCCACTGTGCCCTGATTTCCCCAGAGCCACACCTGGCCAGGACGGAGCGTGGGAGTGTCATTCGGCTCTGTGGCACCCTCTGGCCTGGGCGTCAGCGGTTCCTGCAGGCCCTGTGGGTCAGGCAGGCGGGGAGGGAGTCAGGCTCCGGGAACCTCGGTCACTCGCTGACCGGCAGGGCCCACCCATCCCTTCGGTCACAGCCGGGAAGTGGGGCCCAGAGAGAGCGATGACTCCCTCAGAGCCACACAGCACGTGGCATCCGCCCTCCCACCACCCTGCAGGCGCACCGGGGCATCAAAGGCATGGTGGTGGACAGGTTCGGAAAGCCAGTGAAGAACGCCCGCATCGTGGTCAGAGGCATCCGCCACGATGTCACCACAGGTGAGCACCACGGGCTGCGCTCTGGACTGTGGCTGCTGGCACTCTGGGTACAGGACAGCATGGGCCAGGGCGGCCAGGGAGGGTGCAGGGGACTCATCTCCCTCTGCCTTCTGTGCTTCTCCTGCCTGACAGTCAGTGTGTGCCCTGCAGTCCCAGAAAAAGCCAGAGGCCCAGAGGTGGCAGGAGGGAGCCGCCTGCTCCCACAAGCCCAGTTGTGTGTCCCTGAGTTCACGTCCCAGTGAGGAGCTGGCCTCACTGCTGATTGAGTATACATTGTACACTAGGATGTATGTTACTGGCCAGGGCCTTGAGGGATGAATAGGAGTCTGACAGAGAGAGGAAGTGGGAAAAGGGTTCCTGGTAGACTGGAGGCAGAGGCAGTTGTGGGATCTGTCTGCCCCTCCTGATAGCCCTGCCCTGCCAACACCCGTCACTTAATCTCAGACTGAGTCCATAGCCGGGCTTTGAGGGTCCTTTGCACTCTCTTTGAAGCTCCAGACGGAGACTACTGGAGACTGCTGCCGCCAGGGTCCCACGTGGTCATCGCCCAGGCCCCTGGCTACGCCAAGGTCATGAAGAGAGTCACCATCCCACTCCGCATGAAAAGGGCCGGTCGCGTGGACTTCATCCTGCAGCCGCTGGGTGCAGGTCCCAAGAAGTCCCTGCCCACGCTCCAGAGAGCCGTGACTCGCTTCCGGGTGGCACGGGGCAGCGAGGCCCCCCGGAGGGACCCCGCAGAGCAGGACCCTGAGCCCCTCGGAGCACACAGGCTGCCCTTGGCCCGCGGGAGCAAGCCCTGGTGGTGGTCATACTTCACGTCGCTCACTGCCCACCGTCCACGCTGGCTACTCAAGTACTAGGCCACCTCGCGGGGTCCTGCTCTTGACTTTCACCGCTGCACACGTAGCATAAGCCGTACCATGTTATTAAAGGGGTTCTGCACCATCTACCGTGATGAGGGCTCTGTGGGGAGGGAAGGACTCTGGGTTGTGGTGGGACCCCGGGTCCGAGCTGGCCCTCCCCCGGCCATGAGGCTTTGAGTCGGCTTTACAGGCAAGAACCCGAGGCAGGTGGGGGAGAGGGGAGCTGAGCCGAGGGCCTGTGCTGACGGCTAGGGAGGCTCGGATCAAGGTGGGGCGGACGGGAAGCAGGTGGCCAGAGTCACCCCAAGGCAGGTCTAGGCCGGGCAGGTGACAAGGAAGGGGCCCAGGGTCACACAGAGGTTCTCAGGCTTCCACAGGCCTGGCTCCGGGAGACACTGTGCCACAGTTTCTCCCTCATCCTTGGGACACCACCAGGTCCTGTCCAGGGACCTGTGCAGACTGATGGTGTCCCCTGTGAGCCCCTGGGCTGCTGGGCAGGGCCCCCTGGACAGTGTGGGCAGAGGAAGCACATTCATCTGCTCAGGCTGCAGAGTGACTACAGATTGGGCCGGAGCAGGACCGATTGTCCTGGGCCTGGGTGGAGGACAGACCAGGTGTAGCAGGGCCAACCCGTGGGCAGCGGCTTCTCTCTCCCTGTGTCCCCATCCCTGCTGTGTGTCCCCTTCCTTAAGGTGGACACGCTCATCTTACCCATGGCTTTCCACAGACTTTCTCAAATAAGGTCTGTGGCAAGGCTCAGGGCTGACTCCAGGGGAGTACGGGGCTTGGCCATCTCTGGCCCGTGGAGCTGCCATGGGCCTGTGCTCCTCCGTCCTGGGGCACTGGGCTGGCTCTTACAGTGCCCAGGCCAGTGAGCTCACCCTGGAGGGGGGCAGCATCCCTGCGAGATGCCGACATGACCGTGCTGGCTGCACCTTGCACTGTCTCTGGCCTCCTGTGTTTCACACAGAGCCCTGGCACACAGTTCACTGGAGGAGCAGGCCCGCAGGGGTCCTGGGGGTGGCATCCATGGGGGTGTCATGGGCATAAAGATACCTGGCTGCCGAACACCAGGCTTGTGCCTCTAGAGTGACCTGAAACATGGGCTGGGCGTCACAGCTGTGGTCCTATCCTGGCTCCCGCAGGTGGCCAAGGGCCTCCAGGCTGATGTTTATTCGGTCTTGTGGTGTCTCGGGCACCACCCAGAGGTCCTCAGAGCCTGCAAGGCTCGGCGGGAGGACCCTGCTGCCTACTCAGTGAGTGTGGGTGAGCAGAGCGCCCCCCTTGCTCAGCAGGCCCCGTGTGAGGCGCAGCCCTGCCCGGCTCCCCTACCCGGCCAGCCCCGAGGCCTTCAGGCAGGGAAGGCTAAGCACTGTGGGGCTGGACAGGCAGAGAGATGGGACATCTGCCCACTCAGTGCCCACCTCGCCCTGCTCACAGTCAGGGGGATGCCCTCTGTGGCCCCTGCACGCACGAGAACCCGGGCGTCCTCGGTGATACCCTTGCCGTCCTCCCGGCCCCGGGCTCTGGCACGGACCTGGGTTGGGAATGCCCTGAGCAGCCCTCCCGAGCTCACTATTGGCCTGGAGGCCCAGGCCATCAGCAGAGCTGGAAACGGGTTTCGTCTAAGGGGAAAATACAGGGAAGACAGTTCCAGTCCTGCCTGGGGAACTTAGTGGGGCCCCGTCTTAGAATAAAGGGCTGGGGAGGTAGCCGGGTGGGAAAGCCTTGGCTTCACTGCCAGTACTGCCGAAAAGGGGGTGGGAACAGTGACACAGCCATTGCCATCCTCCCTCGCTCTGGTCTGAGGACCTGGGTTTCAGCGTTGCGGGGCCCTCAGCTCGCGATGGTGCTGTCTGTGATCTCAGCAGCTGAGGACCCAACTGCAACGGCTGCAGAGGACACAGCAGAGGTGGCTCCGCACTGGAGAAGGGTGTGAGGCAGAGCGCCAGCCACATGTATGGCCCACGAGCATGAGCTGCCGTGTGAAAGGCCCTGGGGCCGGGGAGAGCCACGGAGGAGGCCACCCTGCCCTCAGCCGGCCGGCTGACCTGGAGGAACGCAGGCTGAGACGACCACAGCTGAAGTAGCGAAGCAGCCTAACGCTCATGTTGGTCAATTGACTTTACAAACCTGAAGCCGGCAGTCTGAGCGGCTATTTAGGTGCTAACAGGATGCAGGTTCAGTATAGCAACTGAGATGGGGTCCCTACTCTTTCATTTTTGAAATCCAATATTGGGTTCTTGCTGTTTTGTTTTGTTTTCTTGTTTTGTTCTGGTCCCTTTAAAATTTAAAAAAATACATAAAGCTGGGCCTGGTGGCACACACCTGTAACCCCAGCACTCGGGAGGCTGAGGCAGGAGGATCTCTGCGAGTTCAAGACCAGCCGGGGCTACAAAGTGAGCTCCAGGCCACCTGAACTGCACAGTGAGACCCTGACTCAAAAAGACAAAAAAGATGAAAGCAGAGATCCAGAAGGGAAGGCGGTACCAATTTCAGAACCAGACCAACTCAGTAGATGGCTAAACAAATAAATCAGGTTCTAGAGAAACCAAACTCCACGGCCCATTTATTTTTTTTCAAAATTAGATTCAATTTTATTTTATCAAAACATAAATTGTCATTTGAATAAGAGGATATTAAACATAAGACCAAAGAGTATATTTTCTTTTATTTTAAAGAGAAAAAAACAGAACAATCAAGAAGCAAAAAATTAAATAACAACAAAAGCAAACTGATGAGAACAGCAGCCACAGCAGCGGCAGTGTGGACTTGACACCGAGACGGCAGAGATTTGTATTATATTGTATGCTATACTGCGTGTTGTTATCCTCAGAGGAACAGCTCGGCCAGGATGCAGGCGCGCGGGCCGACCAGCCTGTGACCTTCCCCGGCAGTCCCCTCCCTGTGTCTCCTGTGGCTTGGGTCTCATTCACCCTTCCTTTTTCCACACTAGCGAGACAGTCGGTGCTTACACCTGAAAGACTGAAGGTTCCACTTGTGAGCTGGCCCCTGCTGCATCCCTTGACCTGTCAGAGCAGCGGGCAGGGCACTGTCGGCTGCTGGCCTGGCCTCCCCCGCTCCCCGCCCTGCGTAGCACTGGTTTGGGGGCGCAGGGGAGTCCAGGACTTCAGACTCCTGCAGGGCCGGGGGTCACTCAGGTCCCTCTCCCAGCCCGCCACTGGTCTCCCTGGCTTTGCTTGCTGCTCTTAGGACCCCGGTGATGCTCCCCATTGTGAGGTGGCCTCCTTCCCTCTTCCCTTCAATGCCCCCTTTCCCTTTTAATCTGTCCTCTGAGGCCCCAGGGCTGAAACAAACCCTCCCCCTCCTCTTGACCACTCTTCCGCCCTTCTGGCCAGGGCCGTGGCCTCTGCGCAGTGTCCCTTTCCCGGGCGACGGTGGCTGGGGAGGAGAGCAGCCCTGAGGGCCTGTGCTCTCCGGCCCAGGATTAACCATAAACCACTCAGGACAATTTTATGACAGTCATTTTTCCTACCATTTTCTCATACAAATCTAATCTTTTGAGGGCCCACTCCCTTCCAACTCACATATTATGGGCTTTCATCAATAATAATATACGATCAATTACTCAAATGTAATTGATTAGTCGCGAGAGCTACATTTCCCCTCTTGGCTTAAGCCCGAGAGATGGTGGCTTGGCCCTGGGCTCTGGACTCTGTACCTTTTAGCAGAGATTAAATTTATCCACAATTTACTAATGTCTGCCCGAGATGAAGCTGAGGGCACCCACATCCCAGTGCCCGATGACACCATCCCCGGGCGCGATAAGCCACCGCGGGACCAGGGACCTAATGGCCTCCTGAGCGGGCTCGGGGCTTCGTTTGTCTTTATTTGGCCACGCAGATAATATTTTTGTCATCAGAAAGTTAAGTCCCACAAATCCAATATCAACCAATTTAATAAGGAGAGTCAGAGCTGGTTTGGGCCAGTCTGAGTCTCCAGGCTGCAGCAAAACCAGAGTGATAACCAAGACGGTAAGGACGTCCAGGGCCCCACCAAGCAGGGCCTCCAACGTGCGGGGGCTGGCAAGGCCACCAGTTCCCGGGCCACTGCGAAAGGGCCGTGTGCAGCTGTGTTGGTCCTGAGACGTGTCGGCTGGCTTGGGGGTGTCTTGGGGACCCAGAACTGCTGCCATACACCCCAACAGAGTGCTGCGCTGGCGTCCCGCAGCTGCCTGTGGGCTGGCCTTGCTGATGGGGCTCGGCCTGTGCTGCTCCCCCATTCCCAGGAGGCCGCCCAGCCCAGCCTGAAGCCCCCCTAGAGCCTGAAGGCCATGACAGCTCCTGCATACCCAGCCCTGACTTGGAAGCCTCCCACATGGCTACCCCAGGGATCAGCCTGTGGCCTCTGTGTGTAGGGTCCAGAGGCCCTGGAGGGTCAGGACGGAGGTCAGAGGTCGGTGAGGTTCTACTTGACCTTGGCTTGGCCACCAAAGGTCAGATGTGCGGCATGCTGAGCAGTGAAAGTTTCAGTGTCACAGGAGACTTTAGGGATTCTGCACATCACAGTGGCACTGGCTTCCCGGGGCTGCAGGTGAACACTGCAGACAGGGATGCAGGTGACAGAAATTCCATCTTCCCAGCTGCCCTCCTGTGGCAGGGCTCCTGTGGATGCTCTAGTCCGGGTGCCAACATCTGTTCCAGTCTCGGGTGCCTGGCCCCTCCTCTCCATGTTGCCCTGTCCCCTTCTCAGGGGTGGGCCCTCAGGGTGGACCAGGGCAGGCCACTCCATAGGGACTTATCGTAACCAGAGGCACCTGAGGCAGCCTTGCTTCCAGATGGAGGCCCACGTGCAGGGGCCAGGCTTTGGGTGCCCACAGAGTCCATCACCCCCCTTGTGTGGGGCTCACGGTCCTTGCTGGGGTCTTTTTTCTGTGGGTACCCTGGTCTTCTTCGGGATCTAGACAAGGTACAAGCTCTCCACAGAAAGTGAGGGCAGAGGAGGAGGCAGTGCCCCAGGACTGGTGCCCGCTGGGAACTGGGGCTCCCAGCTCTCTTAGGATGTCTTAGTTACTTTTCTTCTTGTTGCTGAGACAAAATACCTGAAGCCCAAAATGAAGGAAG